GAAATGCGACAGCCGATTGCGCGCAGCGACGTCCCCACAAACAGCCGTGGATTGAAGTGATCAGTTTATTGCTATTTATTTTTTTCGAAGGGATTATTACTCCCAGAAAAGCGATCCGCCAATCGACTAACCACCGGTTCCTACTCGCTGCTGGGTAAACAGAGGCGCGCGGAGTCAGGAAACTTACCCAACGTTTCTCCCTGCCCGGGAATCGAACCCCGGTCCTCTCGCTTGCGAGGCGAGTGCCCAAGCCACAGGACTCCACGTGAAGAAGATTGGTGCAGGTACATCCCCCCCCCGCCCGCCCCCGCCCCCGCCCCCGCAAAGGGATGTCCGCCCTGCGGAGGAAATTCGGTGAGGACTACCAGGTGAGCACCTCCAGGGGAACGTCCTACAAGGCGCAGGTCAAGAAGAAGCGACAGAGGTTCGTGGACAAGAACGGACGGTGTAATGTGCAGCACGGGAACCTGGGGGGAGAGAGCAGCAGGTACATCTCGGATCTCTTCACCACCCTGGTGGACTTGAAGTGGAGGTGGAACCTCCTGATCTTCATCATGACTTACACCATCGCTTGGCTGGTGATGGCCTCCATGTGGTGGATCATCGCCTACATCCGAGGGGACATTAGGCCGTCCCATGGAGAGAGCTACGAGCCGTGCGTGTCCAACGTCTACAACTTCCCCTCGGCCTTTCTGTTCTTCATCGAGACCGAAGCCACCATCGGCTACGGCCACAGGTACATCACCGAGAAGTGTCCCGAGGGCATCATCCTCTTCCTCTTCCAGTCGCTGCTGGGCTCCATCGTGGACGCCTTCCTCATCGGCTGCATGTTCATCAAGATGTCCCAGCCCAAGAAGCGGGCAGAGACCCTCATGTTCAGCCACAGCGCGGTCATCTCCCAGAGGGACGGCAAGATCTGTCTGATGTTCCGGGTGGGAAACCTGAGAAACAGCCACATGGTGTCCGCTCAGATCCGCTGCAAAGTTATAAAGGTACCAGACCCTGAGGAGTGGGGGAGTGGGGGAGTGGGAGAGTGGGGGAGTGGGAGGGGGGGAGGGGGTGGGAGGGGGTAGTGCAGAGTACGGGGTGGAGGGATGGATGAGTGGGGGTAGAGAAAAGGGTAGCGGGAGAACCTCATCTACTAACAACCCCACAAACCACACGGTCACTCCACTTTAAGGTGCGTCCTGTGAAGCGCTTTGAGGCGTCTCGAAGACGTGAGTAGGCGCTGTATCGCACGCCAGGATTGGGTTGCTGGTTGGGGTGGGGTGGCGGGGGGGTGGTGGGTGTGGGGGGTGGGTGCACTGTGTTGTGGTGGGTGTTGTTGTTGTTGTCGTGGTTGTTGTTGTTGTAAGCTCTGAGACAACAACATGCACTTACACAGCGCCCTCGGAGTCTCGGAGCGCTGATCAGTGGCGGAGCCTGAAACCATTGCTCCCTCACTCACTCCCCCTCACCCCCCCCCCCTTCCCCACCCCCCCCGCCACCGCCCCCACCTCCGCTTTCAGTCCAGGCAAACCCCGGAAGGAGAGTTCCTGCCGCTGGATCAGTGTGAGCTGGACGTGGGGTTCGGGACCGGAGCGGACCAGCTGTTTCTGGTGTCTCCTCTCACCATCTGCCACGAGGTGAACGGCAAGAGCCCCTTCTTCGACCTGTCGGAGCGATCGCTGAGGAACGCGCAGTTCGAGATCGTCGTCATCCTGGAAGGAATTGTGGAGACAACCGGTGAGTCGACGGCGAGAGATCGCGCGGCTTCCGTTCGCCGCCCGCCATTTTTCCACGGCCATTTTCCCTCCGTGGTTTACGTCGCTCTCTAGGCAGGAAATTGGGCTGCCGCAAATTCTCCCGCGATACGCACGGTCACCGCGTTTAAGAGTGTGTGCGTGCGTGCGTGCGTGTAAAAAAAAATAAACCCAACGCAGCCCGCGAAGCGCTTTGAGATGTCTCGAAGCCTCGATGAGGCGCTGGGTCAACCGTGTTAAGGGTTCCGGCGAGGGTGGATTTGGGTGTAAGTTAGTTGGCGCCCGGCCAAAGGCGATTGCGGCAGTTTTATCGCAACGCGTGAGTTTTATAGCGGGATCCTACCCCTCCCTGACCTCCACCCCTCTTGATCCCATCTCCCGGCTCGGGTCCAAATCCTTGTCTGTCTGTCAGGACGTCCTCCCAAAGGCGATCGGTAAGTGTAATTTGTTGTTGTGTTGGCTCTCGCGCTCCGATCGTTCCCAATAGCTGACAGTTTCCTATTTCCTCTGCTTGCCAGGGATGACGTGTCAAGCAAGGACCTCCTATACTGAAGACGAAGTCCTCTGGGGTCATAGATTCCTGCCTGTCATGTCCCTGGAGGAAGGCTTCTTCCGTGTAGATTACTCCCAGTTCCACTCCACCTTCGAGGTCCCAACCCTTCCCTACAGCGTGAAGGAGCTGGAGGAACGGCTGAGCCTTGCCTCGGGCTGTCGGACCCCCTTCGTGGACCCCAGCAAGAGCCGGAGGGGACAGATTTACTCTCTGGAACGCATCGAGGTGGCGGAGGAGAAGAACAGCCATCTGCCGGCCAAGTTCCAGAAGATGAGCGCGACCAGGGAAGAGCTTCAGAGGAAGGTGCTGAGGTTGACGACCAACCTGATCGAGAAGACGTACAGCACCGGGGACCTCCCGCTCAAAGTGCAGAGGATGAGCTCGGCCCCCAACGCCCCCAGCATCGAGGAAAGCCTGCCCCTCCGCGCGTTCAAGGTCAACTCGGAGCCCATCGCCCACTCCACCGGCGATCTGACCCTAAGGGCTCAGGGCGTGCGAACCATGGCTGCCCGGCTCGAGGACACCTTGCCCGACAAACTGAAGAGGATGAACTCCGACCGGCTGACTTAGTGTTCGGTTGGTTTCAGCCTGGCTACTGTCGGTCGTGGCTTGGGCAGAGCGTTGGTTGAAGCTCTCAACTCCCTCCCCACCTCAGCAGCTACCACCCCCCCCTCAGAGCCCCAGCTCTTTGGCTGACCTTCGGAAACTTTCCTCTCATCGTCAGAGATGCCATCCATCAGATGAGGCATTAGCCCATCGTCCCTCTTCGTTCAGTTGGACGTTAAATGTTCCACAACCCTTTTGGTTATTGTTATTATTATTATATCATTATTGTTATTATGGTTGTTGTTATTGTTATTATTATTTTTATTATCGTTATTGCTATTATTGTTGTTGTTGTTATTATTGTTGTTGTTTATTATTATAAAGCAAAGTTTGCATCACCCACCAAATACACAGTCACTCCACTTTACAGTCTATCCTGTGAAGCGCTTTGAGACGTCTCAACGACGCGATAAGGCGCCGTTTCAAGTGTAATGTGGATCGTGTTGAACAGACAATGCAAGAATTATCATCATCATCATCATCATCATCATTATTATTATTATTATTATCACCTGCTGCAAAGATCAACGCTTTTAATCCTGACTTCACGCACAACAAGTCCGCTTCGGTGCCTTATCAGCACTGAGCGGAAGCAGTGAACGAGAGTAACAAGGTGTTATTTTCCAGGCAGTCTCGCCGGGAAAAAGCACAGTCCAATCTGGGAGGCAATGATCATTGACCTGTTCTTTTTCTTCCTATTGAATCAAAGTTAGGCCCTCGTCTGGAATAGCCGTGAGGTGTTCTGCTTTGCCGCTTAGTCTTACGAGCGCACCATTTTATTTGAACCCTTTGCCCTCCCTCTCCTGTTAACCCCGCGATTTGGTCGCTCAATCCCCGACCGTTGTGCGCAATTGGCTGCTCGCCTTTCGCCCACAAGGCATGCAGTCAATTCACTGTACAGCGTGTCCCGCGAAGCGCTTTGAGACGTCTCGAAGACGTGAATGAGGGGCTGTATCGAATGCAAGGGATTATTATTATTATTGTCAAGGCCGCAGGAAAGGCCCTGTGCGACCGGCTAGTGTGGTGCTCTGAGATCCACGGACTGGGTCACTGTCCTTTGACCGAGTTGAGGTGAGAGATCGCGCGTTGACTGCGATGAAGATTGGGCATCGATTGGGAATCCGTAGCCGGTCTCTCAACCAGCCACGGCCCCCCCCGTTGACGGAAAGCCTCGGGCAGGGATAGATAGGATAGGTATCTGTGGAGATCGAGTAGGAGTTGGAACAGATTCCCAAATCAACTATCCCCCTGCAGTTTTCCTTGCTTTTCCCTCGAAACCACCATTTTTTTTCTCGTAGGAACCGCGACCGTTGAATATTAACGCAGCGCGCGACTGAAAGTGAGAATAAAAAGCCTGGGCGCGAACGTTAATTAACGGAGCTCTGTCTCTTCTCTTTGCTTCCTCTGTGTTTCAAACAATCCAATCAAATAAAACTCAGCCCCCACCCCCTCCCGCCCCCCCCCCCCACCACCAAAAAAAAAATCGAGAAAGCCCGGGGTTCGAAAGGTAATTGACGTCCGGCTAAAAGTGAATCCATCTCAATGTGCCTCGTGTCGCTTACTTATGAAGCCTGTTATCACATGTTTAATTTCAAGCATAAGCGGTGTATCAAAATGGAAGGGATATTAATAAAAGCTGACATCGCCTGCTCTGCCAACCTCTTTCGCGGCTGGAAACATAACCCGAGGCGAGGGAAAATAATTAGTCTATCACAAAGCTACGATCACAAACCAGACAAATTGATGTTTTCCAGAGCACCTTAGGAAGAAACGCACGTCTATGAGTATTGTTTAGTGGCTGTTCGTGCCCTGGGTTCTCCCCCACCCCCCCCCGGTTTGGAGAAACGTGCGACTCGCTCGTATTTAACCACTTGAGAGCCAGCTGCGTGATCAGGAAAAGGTTAACAGGGCAGCCTGGCTCACTGCGAGTTCAGCGATTGTGGGTTTGAGCCCCGGAATAGGACACAATAAACCCTTAGGATCACAAGATTGGTTTGGATGAATTCCCTTGGGTCCATCCGATCTCATCTGTCCCCTCCCCCCTCCCCCCCATCGCTACGTCAAGCTACTTTTTTTAACTGAGTCCCAGTGTCCCCGCCTCGAAGGGATCATGGGATGGAGTTCCAGAGGTGCGGGGGCAGAGAGGCTGAAAGCCCAGCCACCGATGCTAGGGCGGGTCGGGCGGGAAAGATGGAGCAGGTCGGAGCCCGCTGAACGGAGGGAGCGGGCAACAGTCGCGGGGCAATTTAGCCGCCAGGTTTTGCCTGCACAACGCACAGTCACTACGCTGCATCACAAAGACCGTTCCACCTCCTACTCACCCCCCCCACTCACCCCCCACCCCCCACCCCCCCGCGCCAAAAAAAAGACCAGCGATTCTTCTCCGATTTGCCAAAAAAAAAACTCTCAAAGCCATTAGCTCTTGAGGTTCTGCGCGAGAGAGATTTATGCCCCCGTATCAGGCCATCTGTCTTGCGCGTCCAGGAGCAAACAAATGCTCTATTGGAAAAGACTTACTGAACCATTCGTTTCATTTTAATCCAATATGCACACAGAGAGAGAGAGAGAGAGAGAGAGAGAGAAAAAAAATACACGTCAAAGAATCGTTTGCAAAAGAGCTTTGTTTTTTTTTCGAACCCCCCATTGGAAACCCGAGCTGCACGTTTCAAGATGACGGCACTTAAGGCGCACGAGGAGGCACTTGTTCTCTCTCTCGCTCTCAGTCGGTACCTGAACAAGCTGTGGCCGGGTTTTAACCCCGTTCACCGCGATTGCGATCGCCGGGCTTGTTAAACACCGTGGCTTGGAGGTGCGCTCCCAGATTCAGTCTACACCCGACGCCGTTTCACTACCCGGAGGTGAGGTGGGGTGGGGGGGGGCGGTCTTTTAAAGGATGGGACCACTGGCAACATGTAAATTCTCAGCGCGTTCAAAGGAACGGTGTGGATTTATTGTGGCGGAGTGTGTTTCACAATATCACACACACAGAGAGAGAGAGAGAGAGAGAAGGTGGGGGCGGGAGAGAGAGAGAGAGAGAGAGAGAGAGAAAGAGAGAGGGGGTGATATAGAAAGAGAGAGAGAGCGAATGATTTAGAGAGTGATGCAGAGAACGTGAGCTAAAGAGAGATGTAGCGAGAAAGGTCAAGATACCGTTCGCTTGCTCTTAAGCATGGTGATGGAATTCCGCATGTGACCCCCCCAAAAAAATAATAGATAGATAGATAGACAGACAGACAGACAGACAGACCTTGCGCAAGACTTTAACCTTCAGAGGGTTTGTGCATCAGCTACTCCGGCCATTTTGCCTTAAAATTGAAGATTGCAGGAAATTCTTCGATTCTGAACTGATTAGGAAGCACTTCGTTTCGACGAACTGCGTCAATGCGGTTTGCAAACGACAGCAGAAGCAGCGGCGACAGCATTTAGACAGCGGCCTTCGTTTATTATAATAATAATAATAATAATAATCCTGGCATTTGATACAGCGCCTTATCACGTCTTCGAGACGTCTCAAAGCGCTTCACGGGATACGCTGCTCAAGTGAGATGACTGCGTATTTCCTTAGCATTCACTGTTCCAGCTGTTCTCTGCAAACTTGGAGCCAAAGGGAAAAAAGATCACCTCGTGCCAAAGGACAGATGGGCCCAAATGACATGAGGGGCCACAGGATAGATGAGAACAACTTGGACCATTAGCGACATTACTCATCCAGTCATTTTCGGGGGTGAGGTGACATCTATTTGGATGGGCGGATGAAGGGAACGACCGGGCTATAGCTCACACCGTAGGACTATGCTTGGCCAAGGTGCTAGTTTGGTCGAGGTTTAGAGAATGCAGTTCCATCGTCTAGTTTTGATTCCGAGTCCACCCGCCTTCCACATATTGCCAGTACAATACAGGCACAGTCGCGACCACTTGACCATATATCCTTTGAGACGTCTCGACGACGTGATAAGGCGCGATATCAAATGCAAGGATTATTATTATTTGTATAACAAGAGGCATTGTCAGAAGAATAAACCTCGCGTTCGACACGGCGCCTCATCACGTCGTCGAGACGTCTCAAAGCGCTTCACGGAATTTCCTGTAAAGAGAATTGACTGTATGTTTTGTGGGCGAAATTGCACAGCAGCGTCCACCCACCCCCCCCGCCCCCCCCCCACCCCACGCAAGCAGTCGTGGATTGAGTGACCAAATTAATACTATTTTTCTTTTTGGAGGGATTATTACCCTTGGAAAGCGATCTAATAACCCTCCGCGCAGAGGGCTTAACAGTGGCGGAGCCTGACTCCGAGCCGGACCGCAGCGCAAGACTCCAACGGTTTGGAACCATTACTGGCGACGCTGATTGAAAGGAGGACTGCAAAATAAAAGAAACATTTGAGACGGCCCGAGTCAGCAGAATAAACCGCCTCGACACATATCCGGCTGGCTGCGGCATTAAAGGTTGACTGAACGTTAAAGAAACTGCGGAGGGGAGAAATGAATCACGTCAACTCGCAACAGCAATACATAATATTAAAAGAAAAGCAAATGTTTCGGAAAACCGGGCCAACGTGCTTCGAATTCTGATGCAACAGAACAGCAACGAGATTTTTCGAGACAGTCGACAAAGGAAGGTTCGTTGCTCCCTCCCCCTTTACCACTCCGTCTCTCACGCCCCCCCCCCCACCCACCCTTCCCCCGCAACCTCCCCCCACCCTCTCACTTTCTGCCCTTGTGTTCGCCCCCGCTGCCCCCCACACACCCACCCACCCACCCACCCGCCCGCCCTTCCACCCTCGAATTCCTTTCCGAACGGTCACCCGAAGCGGATTGACGTCCTGCTTCTCCCGCAAAACGCACAGTCACTCCACTTGCCAGTGGAATCCCGTGAAGCGCTTTAAGACGTCTCGAGACGGCGAGGGGCGTTGTTGTCATTTGTACTCTTGTTGTTGGTGATCTGGCTGGACCGGGAAGACGGC